ATCTCTACAACCATCGTGGGGCTCAAACTCACAACCCCGAGATCAAGAGTCTCAGGCTCTTCTGACTGAGCCAGCCGGGGCTCCCTATCAAAAGCTTTTTAAAGCTTTTTATCTCAAAAATTCTACTTCCAGGACTATATCTTAAGACATGTTTCCAGGCTCCTGGATGGTTTCAGCTCGGGTCATGATCCCAGGGTCCTGGAATGGAGCCCCGTGTCATGCTCCCTGCTCAGCAAGGAGTCTGCTTCTCTCTCTCTCTCCCCCTGCCGCTGCCCTGCCCCCCGGCTTGGGCTCGATTCTTCTCTCAAATAGATAAATAAAATCTTAAAAAAAAAATGACATGTTTTCTATGCGAAATGACTTTAAGTGATGCAGGGTAGAACACATCTGTGGCATTGTCTAACACTGATTCACATAGTGAGAAAGTCATTCCTGTCAATTCCCTTTCAGTCTTCTGATCAAGGGAAGGAGAAAGCTGTCAGTTTGGAGCTGGTATGCCTTTAACACCTCTCTACACCTTTCCAATCTCCCTTTTGATATAAAAGAATGAGCAAAGGAATAGCCATATCTTAATTCCATTTTTACAGCATTGTTTTGTTTTCCATTGTATTTGTCTTTATGATTGCCTTTCTTTATTACATAAGATGCTTGTTTTCCATTTATAATAGTAAACAAAGTTTTCTTTTAAGACTCATTTATTTCGGGGCTCCTGGGTGGCTCAGGTGGTTAGGCGTCTGCCTTTGGCTCAGGTCATGATCCCAGGGTCCTGGGATGGAGCCCTACATCGGGCTCCCTGCTCAGCGGGAAGCCTGCTTCTCCCTCCCCCACTCCCCCTGCTTGTGTTCCCTCTCTCGCTGTGTCTCTCTGTCAAATAAATAAATAAAATCTTAAAAAAAAAAAGACTCATTTATTTAAGGACAGAAATGAATTGGTTTAAAGAGAAAGGCTAAGTATAGGACAGATGGTATTTAATTATGGTGAAATAGTTATGGTGATGTATGGATAACTGAAATGTGTGGAACATGACCCTAGGAATTATCAGAGCTTCAGATACAGATTTTAAATGGGGGTGGCGTTCTTATATATAAAGCTGTTCCTCTCAGTGAGACTTCTGCTATCAGAAAGTTAGAAACCACTCGGGTGTCCAGCAATAGGGCATTGGTTAAATGAATTTGATATCTTCCTATGATAAGGTACTGTCAGCTATTAAAGAAGTATATTTAATGACATGGGAAAATTATATACTGTTAGGTAAAACAAAACTGGTTGCAAAAGAAAAATATATACAGTATCTCATTATTGTTAAAAAGAAACTATATATATAAATATATTTGTTATATATAAGACTATGTATATATTTGTTTTATATATATGTGTGCGTGTATATATATATACACACACACTAAAATTATTGGAAAAAGGAGTAGAAAAAAATAATTCCAAATAAGTTATGTCTGGATGGTTGGACTACAGATTTTTGTGTTTTCCTTTAATAAACATCTATCACTTTGTTACCAGAAAAACAATGTATACATATATCTCTATATATATTTTTTTACATATATCTATTTTTTAATTAAGCTGTTCCAACTCTAACAGGACTGCTTGGCATTTCACCATCTGTAGGCGATCTTGAGTCCTTACAAGCTCCTGGAATCCAGTTAGATCCCCATAGCCTGCTGCAGAGCCAAAGGGGAATAATGCCCTCAAGACTTCCTTGTCACCTCTCAGTACACTCCAAGATACTTGGTCTTGGTGGGTGTATATCTATACTTTTGGAGTAAAACAGAGGAGTATATACAAAACTGTTTGAAATCATTTTTTTTTTTTAGATTTTATTTATTCATTTGAGACACGGAGATTCAGAGAGAGAGAGAGAGAGCATGAGCAGTGGGAGAGGCAGAGGGAGAGGGAGACGCAGACTCCCCGCGGAGCCGGGAGCCCGATGTGGGGCTCGATCCCAGGACCCTGGGATCATGACCCGAGCTGAAGGCAGACGCTTAACCATCTGAGCCACCCAGGCGCCCCTGTTTGAAATCATTTTTATTGCCTTTTCTTCTCAACAGTCTTATTAGGCAGGCTCGCATCAGGAACCCTCTTTTTTCAATGGGTTTGGATCATTAAGTAGGAGTAGAGTAGCTGATGAAAGGGGGTCTCCTAGTTTCTCATTTATTCTTTTCCTGTAATTTCCACATTATTCTACTGGCCATAAATTTTTTTTTTTGCTTCTTCAATTTTTATTTGGAAATAATTTCAAACTTACAGAAGAGTGGCAAAAATAAAAATAAGAAAAAGAATATCCAGTAGTAAAAAGAACAGTTAAAAAGCAAAAGTAGTAAAAAGAATCTTTACCCAGATTGACCTATTAACATTTTACCCCATTTGCTTTATTTATATCTGTATATACAAATATTTGTATTTTTCTAATTTCAATATATAAAGTATATACTCCCAACATATAATACATACTTCATGTATTTAAATTAGAAATATATATATATATATATATATATTTCCTGCACCATTTTGGCCATGAAATTTCTATATGTGAGATATAATCATGGTTCTTCATCACCTGGGTTGGAGGTGCATATATTTAAATTTGGATTCCTTCTTTCCAGGATTACAGAATCTCTGTTGGGCAGAAAAAAAAAAGTTCACTGGAAGGCCTAATGCTTGGCAGAAACAATTGCTACCTTTTGCCTTCTAGAAATTCCTAGGATGTTACTTCTTAGAGCTGGTTCCTGGAAACCCCTGGATTCCATTGTGGGAATGGTGTAGGCAGGTCCCTCTTGAGTGGCTAAATGCTGTCTCTTTCAGAGAAAGGTCTTACAGCCCTGGTGCAAGCTTCCTTCTTTTACAAGGGTGCTGGGCTCTGCCCAGGGCCGGTTAGCCAGATCCTGAGCCTAACAGAAGCCTGTTGTGACATTCCAGTAACATTTGCCAGGTTGTAGCAAGACCTTTGACTAGCCAACTGCCCGCCGCCCGCCCCCCGCCCCACCCGGGGTCCTTCAACTCCTCTCCACCCCCACTGCCACCATTGCTGTGATTCAGGCTGTCACATCTCTTGCCTGGATAACACAGTGACCTTTGACTGGTAACTACCTCCCCTTACCTCTTGCCTTGTCTTTTTCGCAGAAGCCAATGTGTGTTAGTTTCCTATTGCTGCTATAACAAATTACCACAAACCTAGCGGCTTGAAACAACACAAATTTATTATTTTACAGGGGCGCCTGGGTGGCTCAGTCGGTTAAGCGTCTGCCTTTGGCTAAGGTCATGATCCCAGGGTCCTGGGATCGAGCCCCATGTTGGGCTCCCCGCTCAGCGTGGAGTCTGCTTCTCCCTCTCCCTCTGCCTCTCCTCCCCCAAGTATGCTCACGCACTCTCTCTCTCTCTGTCAAATAAATTAATAAAATATTTTTTTTAAATTATTATTTTACAGCTCTGAAGGTCAGAGTCCTAAAATCAAAGTTTTAACAGGGCTGTGTTCCTACTGGAGGTTCTGGAGGAAACTCATTTCATTGCCTCTTCCAGCTGCTTGAGGCTTCCTGCGGTCCTTGGCTCATGGCCCCTTCCTCTGTCTTTAAAACCAGCAGGTCTTTCTCACGCCTGCCTGCTCTGCTGCTCCTCTTCTGTAGTCAAATCTCCTCTGCCTCCCTCTTCTAAGGACACTTGTGATTACATTGAGCCCACCTGGAGAATCCAGGATTATCTTCCCATCTCAAGATCCATAATTTAATTACATTCTGCAACATGCCTTTCGCCATGTTAGGGAACATACAACTTCCAGGGATCCAGACATCAGCGTCTTTGGCGGGGCCATTATTCAGCCTACCCCACAGTGTAGTCTTTTAGAAACACACACATCCAACCACATTATTCTTCTGCCTAAAATTCTCATGCGGTGCTCCAGGCCTCAGAGGATGAGGGCCTCTCAGGCCTGGGGGAGCCGTACAAGTGCTGCTCACACCCCTTCTCCACCTCCCCCTACCTCGTCTCTCTCTCCTTGGCCTCTGGCTTGCTGTCCGTGATCCAGCCTTTGTGCATGGTATGCTTCTTACCAAGGATGTTTCTCCTCCCCACACTCCATTCCAGGCCTTCATGAGGCTCCAGACAAGGTCAGGCCTCCCTAGGCTGCGCTCATAGTGACCTCCTGTGTCATTCTGCTCTCACACTTCCCTGGGTTGTTATACCTTGGCATTTATTAAAGTGATCATTTGATTCATATATGCTTCTCCTATGTGAGTAAGTACCCCATACAGGCCGGGACCATGTCTGGTTTTTGCCCACTGCTGTATCCCAGCACAGTGTCTGGCTTGTGGTAGATGGTTAGTAAGTACGTGGGGATAAATGAATAAGTGAATGAATATTAACAGCATGGTCATCACCCTCTGTCCCCTTTACACTGTTGCTGCTTCGGCCCAGCATTTATTGCCTCTTCTCTTGTCACCTCCCTCCACCAGAACGGAAGCCCACAAGAGGAGGGACTTCATCTTTTGGGTGCATGCCAGCTCCCAGAGCAGTGTCTGGTCCATAACAGGGACTTGAAAAAGGGAGGCTGCATGATATGCAGGATGCTCAGAACGTCTCACAGAGTTTTTATGTCTGACCCATCTTTGAAATTGGCTATTATCAAGTTCTTCATTTTAGTTATTCATGCTAACTCAAATAATCAGGCAAATCAGCAGAGACCTTTAAAATGTTCAATTTTTTGGTGAAGATTAAATGAGTTAATAAGTGTGAATCATTTAGAGCAGTGTCTGGCACACGGTGAGCCCTGTGTGAGTTTGCCGGTTGTGGCTAAGAGATGCTCAAGTCCTTGATAGTCTAGAATTTTTACTGACTATGTCTGTCGCAACCCTGTGGTGGAATCACAAACACAGAACTGAGCCGGTTCCCCTGGCTGTTGCACCTGGATGGACCCAGCTGTTGCAGTTGCCTGGCGCTGAAGGTGGGTGATCTTGTCCGTCACTTTGTGCTTTTCCTCGTTTTGCCTGCAGGTGGCAGCACGCCCTGGACTTCTCTACCCGGCAAAGCAGTCCCCAGGCTGGACCGCAGAGAAACAAGAAAATGGACTCCCGGCTGCAGTCGGCAACGTGAGCATTTGTGGAAGGATTGTTTACATTCTATTTCGATCCCATTTGCCCTCAACAGACAATAATTCTAAGTTGCATATTTGAGAAGAAGCGTACTTTCTGTCCGTGAAGCTAAGGGCAGTGCACCACTTCTTGGCATTGTAATGAGAAGTCTAGGAAAGACCCTCCCTGATTTTCAGCACCTGCTTCCTTCGACGATGTTTTGTCCTTCCTTGCAACCCCTTTAGGGCTCTGCCTGACAGGGACTCTGTGACATCTTCCTTCAGTGTCACTAACTTTATCTGTAGGGAGCTTGATGAACCCTCTCTTTCATCCTCCCCGTATTCCAGCTTTGCCCCGAGTGTCTGTGTGTCGGGTGCTGTACTGTGCCGTTTCCTACCTCATTCAGTCCCCACAAAAACCTGGCCAAATAGGGAATATTACTCCTTTGTTACAAATGTGGAACCAAAGCTCAGAGGTTACATTATGTACAGAGCTCAGATGCAGCAAGGCAGGGTGGCAGCCCAAGGTCTCTGGAACTCTTGCCTCTTAATCAGAAAATGAGGCTGGCCACCTATGGGTAGAAGATGAATCATATTTGTTCTTGTAGACCTGAAAAAGGAACAAAGCAAAACTAATGGAAAACAAAATTATAATCCCTAAATAACCTCCCTCTCTAAATTTACCCTCTTAACTTCACATCCTATTTTTCTTTCTGATTTCTTTTAACCTGAATTGTTGGCTCACTAGTAAAATTTGCCTTTGTTGCCCTTTGCGCTATGCAAATCCTTATGTGCATTATTCTGTGTACCACTCGATGCAAGGTAGTTTTGTGGTTCATCTGGAGGACCTGTAACCTCCATAAGTTGGTGGAGTTTGAAAAGTGGCAAAGTCTGATGGGTCTTCTGTGCCCAGGAGATTGGGCGACCCATCTGAGGCTCCACACACTGACATCCGTGAGCGCCCCCCAAGCAGGACTCTGTCTCAGCTTAGCTCTGATGACTGGTGCAACCTAAATCTTCAGTGCTGTCACAATCAGCTATTTTATAAACCCGGGTGCTCTTAAGTGCCTGCCGATATCTGAACATTTTAAAATGCTACAGGTAAAACTGTGGTCGGTGAAAGAAAAGTTGTCCTTTGTCCCGGGGGGGGTGCCTTCCTGAGCGCTACTTTGGGGCCCTTCATTTCCAGCCACTTGGGACAAATAGCCTGGGACACATTCACTGTGGATGTTTCAAACTGATAGAGTTACACAACAGTCACTAATTTTTGACTATGAGATACTTTTTCCTTGTCTTTTTTTTTTAAATAACTTTATTGGGCTATAATTCTCATACCATACAGTTTGTCCATTTAAAATGTATGATTGAATGGCTTTTGATATATTCACAGAGTTGCATGTCCATCACCAGAGTTAATTTTAGAACATTTTCCTTACCCCAAAAGAAACTCTGCACCCCTGGATGGTCACCCACCTCTACTCTGCCTGTTTCCCCCAGCCCCCCCCGCCCCGACAACGGCTCATCTACTTCCTGTCTCTGTAGATTTCCTATACTGGGCATTATGGAGATAGCGCCACACCACCCTGTGGTCTTCTGTGCCTGGCTTTTTCCACTTTGCACGATGTTTTCAAGGTTCGTCCATATAACAGCACATGTCAGTACTCCATTCCTTTTCTTTTTTTTTTTTAAAGATATTATTTATTTGACAGAGAGAGACACAGTGAGAGAGAGAACACAAGCAGGGGGAGTGGGAGAGGGAGAAGCAGACTCTCCACCGAGCAGGGAGCCTGATGTGGGGCTCGATCCCAGGACCCTGTGATTATGACTTGAGCCGAAGGCAGACGCCTAACGACGGAGCCACCCAGGCGCCCCTCCATTCCTTTTCATTGCCAGATAATATTCCACTGTGTGGTTATACCACTTTTGTTTATTCATTCATCATTTGATGGATGTTCGGGGTTGTTTCCAGTTTGGGCTATTGTGAACAATGCCGTGAATATTTTGGAGTGCAGGTTTCTGTGTGGGCCATGATTGTGTTTTGTGACTCTGTAAGATGTAATGAGCAAGTCCATTTTCTAAGCATCTGAGAGAGGAATAAGAACCACGCTGATGTTGTTTGAAAAGTGGGGGCAGTTGGGGGGGACAGTTGCTTTGTGTAGACGTAGATTTGCACTCAAAGAGATTAACTGTATGAGACAAGGTTAAAACCAAAAGGTATTTAGATCTAATTCTTCTCACTTGAGTTTTCTAAGTTCTATGTTTTGCTATTCTTTGTTTAAAAAAAAAAAAAAAGACAGGAAAGAAATATGCGTTGGTCCCGTGGTCTCACTTGAAATAACGTGGAATTCATTTGGGTGGGAGGTGGCACGAGGACTTTTTTTCCGGGTGCATTTGGCAGCTGGGAGGTTGAGTTGGAGGCAGGGGCCAGAGAGAGGAACAAGGCGGGAGGAGAATGTGGGGTGTTGTGAGCCACCCATCCGCCCTTGGTTCAGCTTCCTGGTGGCCCACCCTCATGGCCACGGGGCACTGACGGTCAAACTTAGTGTGGCTCTTGCTTGTTATCTGGGTGACGTGCTTCACGGCTGAGTACCTGTGGGTCTAGTTTCACTCTGCTTCTGACTCACAGAGCTCTGGTGTTGGGCTGTTGGTTTTTAGTAAAAGCAGGTGTTAGGAAGAATATGTTGAAGGACAAATCAAGCCCTTAAGGGACTCTGATAAATGCAGTACTAAAAACATTTCCGGGCTGTTTGTTGTTGTGTGTGTCTATGTGTGTGTTTTTAACACCACTTAACAGTTTTCAGTTTAACTGTGTTTTCCTTCCTGAAATCTTGAAGTGAGGCTAGTCCTTGTGATTTATTCTATGCGTTTTCTTTAGGGAGTCCCTCCCCTTCTTACGTCGGGGTTGGAGTTAGAGACCTTTTATTTTTTCTTTTCACACTAACCAAGCATGCAGAAACAGGAGTGATTCGAGTTTGCCTCCAATTTAACTTCTTTATCTTTATTTTCCTTCCCTTGTGACATGAGGGAGTATGGGGGTGGGGCGTTTTAACTGAATTCTGACTTTCGGTGAGTCAGCAGGAATTTTTATGTATTATTTAATTCCTGATGGGAGACACATAAGAGAAGAAACAGGCACCCTTCTGATTTGAGAATCAAAACTTCTGTTTACGTGCAATCTCGACACCACCAAGTGCCCAGTTGTGAGCACCCAGGAAAGCCCAAGCCAGGGAAGGCTTTGTGAGGTGGCCCCAGAGCCTTAGTAAACAGGAGAGAGAAGGTGGGTGGTAGTTGCAGGCACACATGAAGGGAACAGGAGCATCAGGAGGAATCCAGGGGGGTCATGATTGGGTAGGTTGGGTTGACAGGATTTGTGTGGTTGTTGGATTTTATTATCAAGCCAAGTGGTTTGGCTTTAATACCATAAAGATTAGGAAGTGAAGGGGCACCTGGCTGGCCCAGTTGGTAGAGCCTGCAACTCTCTTCATCTCAGGGCTGTGAGTTTGAGTCCCACGTTGGGTGTAGAGATGACTTAAAAAATAAAATCTTAAAAAAAAAAAAAAAGACTAGGAAGTAGAGACTTTTGAACAGGAACACAAGCTTACTGTTTAAAGCAGAGACTGTTATTTCCATTTTACACCTGAGAAAACCAGTGCTTTTCAAATATTTTCAAATAATTCTCCAAGACCCCATGGCCGGTGGAGGTTGGATCCCGCCGACCCCAGAGTATATATAGGTGTGCCCTGGCCTGAGTCTGGGGAGCGCCAGGGCTTCAGCCAGCTCCACCCTGCATGGCCCTGTGAGTCTGGAGTGACTGCATCTGTTTGTGAGCGGGCCTCCCTGGGCGGAACCGGTTAGGGGCAGAAGGGGGACTTTGAGTAAGTCACTTCCCAGCCTCTCGGAAGCCCTGGGAAAGCAGCGAGGCAGGCACTCCGCCAGGCCTCCCCCCTCCACACAGCAACAGTCCAGGCAGTTCCCAGAGCTGCAGAGACCTGCGGGGCGTGTTTGGGAGCTGTAGGTCCCTGGGCAAGTCTCTCCTCCCCAGTGCGAGCCGCAGGGCTGAGGTGATCCGGGCAGGCTGAGGGCACAGCTGCAGCCCCAGTGCACGTTGCCTTTTGTCAAGGCCCTGATGCTCCAGTGCTCTTGGTTTGTACCGAAGTTTCCCAGCCGTTCCTTCTCTCACGCCTCCAGAGAGTATTCGGCAAATAGTTAAGCACCTGACATGTCCAGCTGAACTCATGGCTACGAACAGAACAACCCAAGGCCCTGGAGCCCCCTTGCTTGACCCTTCTGGTCTCACCTGTAGACTTAGGCTAGGCATAGCATTCCGGTCCAAAGGGAGGGAGGGAGAAAAGAAAACAAGTTGTTGAGGGTCTCTCCCTTCTTGGTGGTCTCTGATTCTATGGACAGATTCCACAGAACATTCTTAAAGGGATTAGGAATATCCCTTAAATCATGTCCAGGCGTTTGTGATCTATGTTTGTATTATGCAACCCCCGTCCTACCCCATGCCTTTTTATTTGTTTTCAAAACACTTTTACTTCTGTCCTTGATCTTTATAAAGTAACTCTGTATGTCACAGTGGACATGGTACCGAGACCCAGGTCCACCTTTACTAACCATGGACTGCAGGCATGTTCCCTAAATTCCCTGTTCCTCCACAGTTTCCTTGTCTGAAAGTGGGTATGAAAACTGTACTTCCCTCCAAGGGCACTCTGAGGATAAATGTGACAATGTTTCTAGCACAGGGCGGGACTCAAGAGTAAAACCTCAGTGAATGGTGGTTACAATTATGATTATATGTAATTATTCCCATTTAACAGGAAGGAAAGCCTTAGACCAGGGAAGTTAAGTGACTTGCTTAAGGTCATGTGGAGAGTTAGAGGCAAAGCTGGAAATAGGCGCCAGGGCTCCTGGTGTCCCTGGCTAGTGCTCTCTCTCTCCCTGGGATTTGTTTTGGTCTCAGGAGAAAATGTTAGTACACATGGACAGTTCTGTCTGAGCCTAATCGTCTGGTAGCTG